CTCCCTCCCTCAGCGCCCTGCTGCTGCGATTGGTCACCCACGATGTTCCACACTGCCGCCTGGTGGTCAGTGCACGTCATGGCATGCGATCGTTCTCCTGGTCGAACTCCTGAGGGGACACTTCGTATATATATAAATTTATACATTTATGTAAATAAATTTATATATTTATATAAATAAAAAATATATATAATTTCTTGGAATGAGACATAACTATATTTCAGCACAGCTTTCCACGTCACCAGCAGACAATCCATGCTGAACACTCTTAGCAGAAGAATGAGCTGACGATCCTGCTTTTCTTCCACGTGCTGCTTGCCGCGTGTGTCATATTTTGTTTGAGGTCTTCCTTGTTTTGTAGCCCAGACCTTCATCGCAGTATCTTATAATCCAGACCTTCATCACAGACCTTCATCAGTAGCCAAGACCTTCATCGCAGTATCTTATAATCCTTCCTACAGATCTTTCATTGTCAGTCAATTGCACAGAACCAACGTGTTTAGTGCCACACACTTTTGTAATGGGACTTCCACCTGTCACTGCAGTCAGCATTCGGTTCCTCACCATTTATTTTTATTTTCACGTTGTTGGCATAAAACGGATGAGGAAGCAAATTCTGAGCAGAGTGTGTATGTTCCAAGAGAGTCACAGGTCAGGACTTTTAAGAGAGCTCCTGCAACCCAGAAGACCCATCCTTTTCTCAGTCTTAAAAGATATTTTGCACCTGACAAAGTTACAGGCAGCATACTTCGAGCAGAAAGCCTTCATTAGTGATACATGTGTGAGAATCTTCTGTTTCAGTGCGAACCCACACCAGCAACAGAGAGATGCCAGTTGACAGAAGCCCTAGAAAGAAGATATGGACAGGGCCTCATTTGTGTCCCAGTGCAGCTTTTACTTAATATGGGTGCCTTCAACCACTAGGCATGTTGGGAAAGACTTGCCAGCCATCTCAGGCATTCTCCAGCACCAGGCCACTTTTATTTTATTTTATTTTTTTAAATATATTTTTATTGATTTTTTTACAGAGAGGAAGGGAGAGGGATAGAGAGTTATAAACATCGATCAGCTGCCTGCTGCACACCTCCCACTGGTGATGTGCCCGCAACCGAGGTACATGCCCTTGACCGGAATCAAACCTGGGACCTTTCGGTCCGCAGGCCGACGCTCTATCCACTGAGCCAAACTGGTCAGGGCTAGGCCACTTTGAACACTGGGGAGCCACACAGTGGTAGTGACATTTCACAGGAATTTCTCAGTGGAAGAGGTCATGACGAGTGGGGTGAATGTGAAAAAGCTGCCAGCCACAACCAGAAAGTTGTTCAACATCAGGTTGTCTGCTCCAGAGAAGTGATTTATAAGTGTAAAAAATATGGGAAAGCTTTTAGATAAATCTTTAATCCCATTCATCATAGAGGAGTTTACACTGTAGAAAAGCCATACAAGTGTAGTGATGATGGGATGTCCATCATCCTGAGGTCCAATCTCATTCAACAACACAAAGTCCACACTGGAGAAAAGCTATATAAGTGTCGTGATTGCAGGAAGCCCTTCAATCAAAGCAGCACCATCACTCCACACCGGAGAGTTCACACTGGTGAAAAACCTTATGAGTGTAGTGCATGTGGGAAATCTTTTACTCACAATAATCAACTCCTTACCCACAGGAGAGTTCACACTGGAGAAAAGCCCTGAGAGTGTAGTGATTGTGGAATGTCCTTTAGGCAACACAGTAACTTCACTCAATGCCAGAAAGTTCACAGTGCTGCAAAACCTTATAAGAGTAGTGAATGTGGGAAATGTTTTACCTGCATTAATCACCTCCTTATCCATAAGAGAGTTCACACTGGAAAAAAGCTATATGCGTGTGCTGATTATGGGAAGTTTGTAATCTTTATTAGTATCCCCGGTGTAAATACTCTCATTGTTATGCGGTTCAAACAGCCAAAATGATGGCTCTGAACATGGACATGATAAGATATTTCGGTACCACATCATTATATTTTATTTCCAATATGCTGATACAGTGTGTTCAAATATGTTCAAAAATTTTCACAATAAAACAGTAAAATTATTGGGAAGCATCAAGTTTAAACCTTTTTTTTAATTATATCTTTATTGTTCAGATTATTACATTTGTTCCTCTTTTTTCCCCCATAACTCCCCTCCTCCCACTTCCCACTCCACGCTCCGCCCTCCCTCCCCACCCACTGTTCTCATCCATAGGTGCACGATTTTTGTCCAGTCTCTTCCCGCATCTCCCACACCCCTTTCCCCCCCAAGAATAGTCAGTCCATTCCCTTCCTATGTCCCTGATTCTATTATAATCTCCAGTTCATTCTGTACATCAGATTATTTATTCACTTGATTCTTAGATTCACTTGTTGATAGATGCGTATTTGTTGTTCATAATTTGTATCTTTACCTTTTTCTTCTTCTTCCTCTTCTTAAAGGATACCTTTCAGCATTTCATATAATACTGGTTTGGTGGTGATGAACTCCTTTAGTTTTTCTTTATCTGTGAAGCTCTTTATCTGACCTTCAATTCTGAATGATAGCTTTGCTGGATAAAGTAATCTTGGTTGTAGGTTCTTGCTATTCATCACTTTGAATATTTCTTGCCACTCCCTTCTGGCCTGCAAAGTTTCTGTTGAGAAATCAGGTGATAGTCGTATGGGTCCTCCCTTGTAGGTAACTGAGTTTCTTTCTCTTGCTGCTTTTAAGATTCTCTCTTTGTCTTTTGCTCTTGGCATTTTAATTATGGTATGTCTTGGTGTGGTCCTCTTTGGATTCCTTTTGTTTGGGGTTCTCTGAGCTTCCTGGACCTCTAAGTCTATTTCTTTCACCAGGTGGGGGAAGTTTTCTGTCATTATTTCTTCAAATAGGTTTTCAATATCTTGCCCTCTCTCTTCTTCTGGTACCCCTATAATTCTGATGTTGGTACGCTTGAAGTTGTCCCAGAGGCTCCTTACACTATCTTCGTATTTTTGGATTCTTTTTTCATTTTGCTTTTCCGGTTGGGTGTTTTTTGCTTCTTCACATTTCAAATCTTTGACTTGATTCTTGCGCTCCTCTGGCCTGCTGTTGGGTGTCTGTATAATATTCTTTATTTCAGTCAGTAAATGCTTAATTTCTAGTTGGTTCTTTATGACAACATCGAGGTCTCATTAGATTTCTTGTAGATCTCATTAAGTTTATCGGCAGTTTCTAGAAAATTATTGAAAGACCTTAAAAGTGTAGTTTTCAGTTCTATATCCTCCAATTCTGACATTTGTGTCCTGTTCTTCTCTCCGCATTTTTATGCTTTCTTGGTGCACCCCCTAGTGTCCTTGTGTGCAGTCCTTGTTGTAGTTAAGCCTTGATTGTTGTAGGTTAATACTGGGGGGGGTTTGACGCCCAGGCCAACTGGCTGTGAGAATCAGCTGTGTCTGCAGTGGGAGACTTCTGTCTCTAGGGAGGTGCTAATCTAGCCTTTTGCCTGAGGCTATCAGGCAAATGCCTCTGTGCAGGGCTTGTGCGGGGCGGGACCCAGGGGATCTACAGGGCAGGTGGAGCGAGCAGTTATGGCTGCTCTCAGTGCTGTCCCCACCCGCTCTGCCTCTCAGAGTCCCAGCAACCGCTGCAAACCTCGGAGAGAAAGCTGCCTTCGAGTTCGGACCGAAGCCAGACAGTCCTGCTTCTCCCGTTTGAGTCTGAGTCCCTAGAGACTCGCCCGTATCTGGAGCTCAGAGTCTGAGACTCCCTCCCGATTGAAACAGACAACCGCGCCCTCAGCCGCCAGCCCGCTCCGCATGCACTCCGCACCTTAGTATTTTACTTCAGCACTGCACCTCCTCTGAGTCTCGGTATGCTTTTCTCATTCCTCCTAGTTGTAGAACTTCCACTCAGCCAGCCTTCCTGTGGTTCTGGATGATGTCCCTTCCTTCTTTTACTTGTATTTTTGAAGTGGTTGTTCCAGGCAGCAAACTCTGGTGTTAACCTATGCCGCCATCTTGGTTTCTCTCTAAACCTATTTTAAAGATTGATTTCAGTAGAATTGATTTATAATGGACATAAAAAAATACAATTGTGGTGTTTCCCTGCATGCCTGCATTGCTGATACCAAGTTCCTCCTGCCCTTATTTGTTCTTCATTCTAATTGATGCAATAATTCAGTCTGACATTGAAATAGCTTACTTTATTTTCTTGTAAAATAGACACTTATGAAATCCCATGAATCCTAATCTAGCCTTCCACCACTATCTGTCATCAAGATGGTTTCTGTATCTACCTATTCTCAGGTACATTATTGGGTAATTTTACTTAAAATTGTCACATATGTCCGATCGAGGCCAAACAGCTAAGTGGGTCAGCGAATAATTTCAATAATGGAAGGTTGCAAATTCCAATTCTGGTCACATCAGTTACAAGAGTTACTCAAAGAATGTATAAAATTAATGGAACAAAAAAAATAGATCTCTCTCTTTCTCTTTATACAGACCGTCCTTGGGTTACTTCGGACTGGACATATGTTGTTACGTGGTTACGTGGCCATCTGCAATTTATTGATATAAAAAAAGTTCCATCATTTCAATGTAAGGCTTTTGCTGGAATTTCGCTCGGGAATTAGGTGGCCAGTTGAGCAGATGAATAAGTCCTCACGTGGTGCTATAGGAGGAATACGCTGTCCTTCAGTCTTCATTTATAAGCCATTTAGATTGTGCTTCATTTGCTCTCTTTGTGTTGTTATTTTGAACACTTTTTGCCCTTCCTTATGGCTCCTAAGCGAAAGGCAGATTCTTCTGATGGCAGTGCTACGAAAAGAAGGAAAACCACAATGGAAGTGAAAGTAGATGTAATAAGACGCTCAGAAAAGGGCGAAACACCAAGAAGCATCGTCCAGTTGCTTGGCCTCAGTCCTATGACTGTCTTGGCGATCATCCCCGATAAAAAACGTGCACCATGTGAAAGCATCTGCTCATATGAAATCAACTGTGATTACAGAACAGTGCAGCGATCTCATGACTGAGATGGAAAGATTGTTAGTGCTTTGGCTGGATGACCAGCATCAAGGGTGTATCCCAGTTGGCCTGATGTTGATTCAGGAGGAGGCTAAAAGATTGTTTGAGGCCTTGAAAAAAGAAAAGGGGGAAGGGAGTGAAAGGGAAGAGTTTGTGGCTAGTAAAGGCTGGTTGATGCGTTTTAAGGCTTGTGCTAATTTGCATAATCTTAAGGTGCCATGGGAAGCTGCTAGTGGTGATGGGAAAGCAGCTGGTGATTTTCCTAGTGCGTTGGCTGAGATAATTAGGGAGGGGGGTTACTGTGATAAACAAGTGTTCAATGTGGATGAGACAGGCTTGTTCTGGAAGCCTATGCCTACACGTACCCACATTGCCAAGGAGGAGAAGACAGCATCAGGCCATCAAGCCAGCAAGGAGAGATTGACTTTGCTACTTGGGGCCAATGCTGCTGGTGACTTCAAGCTGAAGCCCTTGGTGTGTCTGGCCGAGAATCCAAGGGCACCCAAGGGCATATGGAAGAGTCAACTACCTGTCATCTGGAAATCTAACAAGAAGGCCTGGGTGACACTTAGCGTATTTGAGGACTGGCTCACCAACCATTTTGTGCCAGAAGTGAAGGACTACTGTGCTTCCAAGGGGCTGCCCTTTAAGGTGTTGCTAGTGCTGGGCAGTGGCCCTGGTCACCCTGCCGATCTGAATGACTTTCATTCAAATGTCAAGGTGGTTTACCTTCCACCTAACACCACCTCCCTTTTACAGCCTATGGACCAAGGTGTCATTTCTTTTTTTCAAGGCCTACTACCTCCGAAGGACATTTGCTATGGCTTTTAGGGCAACTGAGGATAAAGAGTTGACTCTCAGTGACTTTTGGAAATCTTACAATGTTCTTGCTGCTGTAAAAAACATTTCTGATTCTTGGGATGAAGTTAAGCAGATGAACTTGAATGGTGTTTGGAAAAAATTGTGTCCCCAGTTTGTGAATGATTTCCATGGCTTTGAGGATTCAGTTGAGGTTGTCATCCAGAATGTTGTTGAGCTGAGTAAGCAGCTTGATTTGGAGGTGGAGGCTGAGGATGTCACAGAGCTGCTGGCATCTCATGGAGAGGAGCTATCTACAAAGGACCTCATTCAACTGAAACAGCAGTTAATTGAAGAGGAAGACACACCAACCCCAGAGCCCAAGAGATTTACAAGCAAGGAACTGGCAGGGGCCTTTGCCATGATAGAGGATGCCTTGGCAAGGTTTGAGGCTCAGACCCCAACATTGACAGGTACACTAAGGTTGCCAGAGGGGTGCATGACCTGCAATGTTACATGGAGCAAGGGATGGCGGAGGTGGGGAGGCAGGGAATCTGATTGGCCCTGATCGCTGTTCAGAAGTTAGGGAGCTCTCCAACCGCAACTTTAAGGCACGGATCCTCTCCTCTCAAGAAATCCTAGCCATTTTCACGAACTACTTCAGCAGATCCGCCTCCCCATACCCCAC